TGCCGAGCTCGAAAGCAAGAGGCAGATTGAAACAGCTACCACTCCGGAGGATCCAGTGCAAGCGGTTTCCGAGCCGGAGCAGAGCAAAGCGAAACAGATTGAAGAGGTTACTAATTCTTTGCAGCGCTTGAATACTGCGGACATCCAGGCCAGCTCCCTCGTGTTCTTTATCTCCCTCTCTCCCTCCCTTCCTTTATATTTCTCTCTCTCTCTCTATCTAGATATCGATAGCTTCGGTTCTCTCTCTCTCTATATATATATATATATCTCTCTCTCTAATATATATATATATATATATGCATCAGGCCATGACTGCTGTGCCGAGCACCACCGGTGCTGCCCAGAACGATCCCTATCAGGGTGATGCAGCTGGGAAAATTGTGGAGGATCCGGATGCTGAAAGTGATGATGAGGAAACCGAAAAGATGAAGGCTAGGCGTGAAGCAAAGCGACTCCGCATGAAGTTCAACCGATCACTGGAGAGTGCCTTGACTTAATACGGATCGTGACTGCAATTCCAATCATCTATTATTTTATACCCTCGATCCAGGCCCCAACTGCCCCGATGTGGTCCTCAAGAAGGCCGCCGATGGAAAGTATGGTGCCTCGGATGGCAGCATCGTGACAGCTGCAATTGTGTATCCATGTGTCGAACAGGCATGTGTATGTGCACGTACCATGTGTCATGTCTATTCAATCTACATAGCGGCCAATCTAAGGCACAGCAGTTCTGAAGGAGTTGTTCCAGATCTACAAGGATTCCGGGTATGATTGGCTGAACTCGGAGCTGGTTATTCAAGCTAAGCGCTTGCAGCAAACGGCCGTCACTGGGGCTCGTGCCTATGCTAGCTTCAAGAGCCTTGTTCAGAAGCATGGAGAAGACAAAGCCAAGCAGTTGAGAAACGAGAAGTATGCCCTTCAGCGACTCGGCAACTACATGCCGGACGTCCCTTGGCACATGTCCCACCCAGACTTCGCTCGAGACGAGGCCGATCATGTTTTCGATTCGGTATGCACATGATTTTGAATGTTCCTGGATACACATGCACCTCGATGCCTAGGAGGAGGAGCTCTTTCTGGTATTTGACTCGGCCAAAGTCGAGAACTCCAAAACCGATCAGCAAAGCCACAGCTTCAAGGCCGACATGCAGTTGAGCGGCCCACAAACTTCGATGATCTTGCAGCTCAGCTTTCGTTAATGTTCTTCGATGTGTACGAGCTAACCACCCTACGGCTATACCGGCTTGTGCTTTGGACTCGGGACGACATTATCGTATCATGCACATGTATAACACCCCTAAACCCCTAAACCCTAAACCGTGAACCCTGAATCCTAAACCCTGAAACCCTAAACCCTGAACCCCTAAACCCTACACCTTAAACCAAAGCTTAAACCCTGAACTCCTAAGCTGAAACCCTCGAACCCCTAAACCCTAAGCCTGATAATAAACCTTATAGAGCTTACCTTAAACCTTAACATAAAGATTTGGAGCCTCCAGGGCTCCACGATCCGGGGTGGTGGGTTTTCAGGACTATGGCATGAGCTGTGCGATGCATGCCTGTGCATGTGTCTAGTTGTGTAAGGCGGGAAATATGATAAGTAATCCTCAATTGAACTTCGAAATAAACATTAATTGTGTAAGGCTGGAAATATGATAAGTAAATTGAACTTCGAAATAAACGTTAACCGGACTTATATATATATATATATATATGGAAAGTCTATCCCTTGAAATCCTATCCTGATCTCAATACCCCAGGTCCCCTGAGAGCCTCGTTTAAATCTCATAACCAAGCGAAGCAACATGCCCAAGTTCAATCCAAACCCTGTATTCCATATATATAGTCTATCCAAGTCTCGATCCCCCAGGTCCCCAGAGAGCTTCATCCAAAATCTCTTAACCACGACAAGCCCATGTTCAATCCAAGTCGAACCCTAAACCCTAAACCCTGATGACCCTATGTATAGTCTACCCTCTCAATCCCCCAGGTCCCCAGAGAGCTTCATCCAAAATCTCATAACCGAGACATGCCCAAGTTCAATCCAAGTCGAACCTTAAACCGCAAACCCTAAGACCCTATATGTGTTATTCCGGATCCTATCTAGATCTTATTATTATGTATATTAGAATCCCCGATCTGACTCCAGGCCAGCACTCATGGAGCAGATGCCGAAGGCACTGGAGCTTGGCACCCCCTGCAGCAGTGGGCTACCTGGGCATAACCCATCAGGTCAAGAGAACAACGACCCCAATCGGAAGAAGCCTAAGCCCAAGCCTAACGGTGCGGGAAAGAAAACCGTGCCAGCGGCGCAAATGGCTCATGCGAAAATGAAGGATGCAAAAGCCTTGCTTACCGATGCCAAGATGTGGATCCACAAAGTGGATGAAGAACGCAAGAAAGTGCCCGAGGAGGCAACTGTGCAACTTTGCTATATTAATAACTATAAACTTTTATGCCTAGGCACTCCACGATTCCCAGCCATCGATTTGCATCGCCAAGGTCACCTGAGATGTGCACTGGCTATCGTCACCAGATCGATTTCCTGGTCGCTAACCTTACCGAGAAAATCGCTGCCCTCGAGTCTAAGGTGGTTTGTGGAACAACTGATGAGCAGGTGATCAAGCCGAAGATGGAGGAGGTCGCGAAGGCTATGGAGAAGTATCAAAAGGGGATGACAAGCATTCGTGCTGCCTTCGAATCCTTCCTGCAATTATGTCATGTCGTGTGTCATGACCCACTTTTGTGATGTCTGCACCCTGGTGTACAAACTAAGGCTCCCCCAAAGCCCAAAAAAAAGGCCAAAGCCGCGGCAAAGAAAGCTAGTGCTGCTCCTCCGAAGTGAGTGATGTGGGCACTCGGTCGACAGTGACCTTGAGGTGTAGAAGTGTGGTGTGGCCAGTTTGCTAATCGACCTTAGATTTGGGGGAGGAATACAATTAATTGCTACAAACTATAACTAGCCTTACCTTAGACCCCCACAGCTAAGCCCTAAACCCTTTTTGCAACAGGCCTTCCACGTTGTCCGGAACCCTAAAGCCCAAAGCTAATCGACCTTATATTTCGGGGAGGAATACAAAGAACTAGCCCTAAATAGACCCCCGCAGCTAAGCCCTAATTTTGCGACAGGCCTTCCACTTTGTCCGGAACCCTAAACCCCAAACCCCTAAACCCCTAAGCCCTAAAACCTACTTTTCGACCAAGCTCTGATCATGATGTACTAGCTATATAGTTGGCCTATAACCCGCCGAGCCCGAAGTCCACGATCATTGGCCTATAGCCGTGCACCTTAATCGATCCCTTTGAAATTTAAGTGTTATCCAAAAAAAAATAATGCAACCACGAAACTCGAAACTCGAATGGGAACCCTTATCAGCCGTAACCATATATCTATGCTAGATAGCCTGCATGCCATTTGTTCTTGCCCCCTCTGGCCGACAGCGACTGCTACTTTTGACCGCATGTTGCACTCCGAATGCTAATCTGAACTGCAACAAAGCAGTACTGGAAGTTTCATCTCGATGTCTGAACATGCAAAGCTCGACGGGGCTAGGGGATCCTGGGCGAGCGCCGCCTCAAGTGAGAAAAGCTAGTAGATTTATCGATGCCATGAACATTGATGTGCGGCCATGTGGCAACAATAAATTGATCCGCACCACCCTGCGCAGGGCAGTCTGGGCGATCGGTGCTATGTGGCGAGCTGAAGTCCATGGTCTCCGAAGGGGACCGGCTTGCTACATGCATGCTAGCATGTACACACATAAACGTGATATCTCCCTGCAGGATCTCAGCTACTGTGCCGCCCGGAAAATCGCTCATGCCTCTACCCAGGAAGATTCCATGTTGCAACTTGCCAATGAACATACTGAGCATGACATGTTGTGTGCAGGAGATGGAAGGCCTCGGCATGCGGCCAACCCAGGAGCTGCTCAACC